AAAAAAAAAAAAAAAAAAAAAAAAAAAAGAAAAGCGACGTCAGCTGGCGCGTGAGCGTTACAAAATGAAAAAGACGCGCGTACATCGGCGTCTCGCCCGATTTTTCCTGTATCTTTTCAACCATTTACGCGAATCGAATTAACATTATCCATTTTTTTTTTCGTTTTCTTAACATTTCTCGTTACCTTTTTTTTTTTCAAAATCGGATTTCTTTGCTTTGTTTAATTATTCTTTTTTTTTTTTTTAATCGTTTCGTTTTTTCTTCCATTTTCGTAAATTACCCGCATTTATATCCATGATGAAATTCCTAATGATTCTTAATTACGTATACTTTTTCTTCTTCGTTTTTATTATATATGAAAAAAAAAAAAAAAAGAAAAAAGAAAAAAGAAAAAAGAAAAAAAAAAAAGAAAAGAGACAAAAAAACAACACAACGGCATTTCTACTATTCCCATTCTATTTTTAACGCTAATATGTAGGACAAAAAACTAACAGATTTCGGTATAATAACAAATCATCGCCCATCGAGCCCGAGACGAGTCACGAGTCGAGAAGAAGGGAACGAAATTTTATTATTATGTTTCGTTAAATTGCCGCAAATATATTATTCGCGCTTCTAAATTTCAACTATTCTCGAGACGCTCTCGGGCAATTCGACGTGACGAAATATAACAGGTTTGTCGGCTCTGACGACCATCGTTCCTCATTTCTCGCCGATCTCTTCCGCTTCGACGATGGACCACAACAGAAAAAAGAAATCTCGAGGCCGCCACCTCTCCGTCCAACGTTCCCGTTCTCGTTGCTTCCTTTTCAACATTCGTAACGTAATAATTGTGCATCTACGATAATAATCCAACCAACTTCATCGTCACGAGCTTTACAATTACAATTACAATATAATATCTTTATACCTCGTTTATAAATCGTATTACGAGAACCCATCGTTGTCTCGGATACGATTTTTTTTTTCTTTCTTTCTTTCTTTCTTTCTTTTTTTTTTTTTTTTTTTTTTTTTCTATTTTTATTGCTGTCGAAGCGATTTTTCGATGGTTGGCAGTGACGCGCGTAATTAATTAACAATATTTGAACAAACGACGAAAAATACTATTTCGATGTTCCATTTCGATATCCTCGCCACTTCTAACATCCATTCGTTCCTTTAATATAACTCTCTTATTTCGAACGATCGAACGTTAGTATCTTTCTCGTTCGCCCTTATTATATCCAATATCCGATGATCCCGACAGGTTCCCGAGACACGAGATACTCTCAAGGATCAATTCTCAACAGGTGTAAGATATTCTCGATTCTCTCTATATATAATAACTTCTCGGTAAAAAATATTGGGGAGGGGGGGGAGAGAAGGGAGGAGGAGGGAAGGAAGGCAGGAAGGGAGTGTATAAAGGAGAAAGGGGAACACCGATTCGAAGGCAACATTCGATTCGAAGCGGAAGACTCGAACGAAGGGAAAAGATCGTCGAGAAACGGGGAATTCCAGCTACTTCACACTATATACATTCATAAGGGAGAGGGCTCAGTCGAAGATGAACGAGCAAGAGTCGCGAAAAAAAAGATAAAAAATGAAGCTCGCTTGTTTCTTCGACATTGGAGGGCTGCTCTCGCCTCGACAGAGCTCGCGAACACAATAATTCTATTTCATAATTGTTTTTTATCATCGCTATTTCACGTTCAACTATTTCCTATTGTATGAAAGGGGAGGGGGGGGGAGGTTCTGTGGATGGGGTTGGGGACACATTATTCCTTTTTTTTTTTTTTCTGCTGGATTCATCATAACTGTCTGCGATGTTACTCTCTCGCGCGATTTTCTTCTTCTTCTTCTTTCTATTATTATTATTATTAATATTATTATTAATATTATTATTAATATTATTATTAACCATCGAAGAGTATGTATAATATTATATATATCGTGTCTCCACTGTTGCTTTCGAACTCGTCCACGTCTTATCCGAAACGAGTGAAGGAAACGAAACAGATCGAACAAAAACCGTAAACTTTGTATGATCCATCGATCGGATCGATCGACCACGATTGTATCGCCGCATTTTATATATATATATGCACTTTTATAACTATTGATATTCAATCGATGATGAAACGAAAAGTTTTATATATATATATATATATAGTAAATAAAAAGAGATCGTTCGAATTGTGTTGCTCACGGCGATCACCTCTCGATCGATCGATCGAAATTTCTTCTGTGCGCGTGTCGCAAACGACGCGATGCGTTCATCTATATGCGTCGTGCAAATGATCAATTTACACGATGATTTTGAAATGAAAGTAAGAAAATATAGGTTATTCTCTCTCAACGTACGTATTATAATACGTTTATATCGT